GAGATATCATAAACAAGACCACTCATACATACATCGTCGAATTACATTTGAAGTTCGTGCGCGCTTTTCATAGTCGTTCGTTCGCTCTGTGTATATATGTTCTTATATCTAACTATTATAAATATTACTTAATACGATGATTAGAATCGGCGATTGAAAATCGTACGGACTGCAATTGGACCACTTGTAGACCGTGAGTTGCCAAAGCGCTAGTTGGACCAGATTTTACCTAGGTAACATTTTATTGCTGCCAAAGGCTGACTTCACTGAGAATGGTTTTTTTGTACGCTTAGCACATGATTCAACAACTTTTGATCAAATACAAATTACTGGATTTGAAATTGCTCTGGTCATTCCATGGTTTTGCGGAATCAAGTAACAACTGATATTTTGCTCAAAAGGACGAAAAAGGCTAATTATGTTTGATTTTTTCATTTAAATAGTTGAATTTGGTTTCTATAACAGAATGTAACAACTACAAAAAACACTTTCCTTATCAAAAAACAGTCTTAAGGTCAATAGGTAACTGAATTGATAAAACGAAGTTTCACTTCTGCACATAAAACGACTTTCATTTTTGAGTAGTTTTAAATAGTTTTACTCCGCAAAATATACCTCGATATTCATATTTGCATTCATATTAATATATGAATATTCCATTAGTGTCCTAGATATTGATATTGCCTCTGATTAAGGCGATTACAATGACTATTTATAGGGGTTTTGCGTTGTGTCTATCACTGTTAAAACACAAATCAAATTAATAATGTTTTCCTTTTGTTACGCACATCGCTTTAGCCAAAGACTGTGTCCTGTTATGGCAACAACAGGATAGCCGTGTAAGTTGTATTGCATGTTAAGTAGGACTTAATAGCATGTGCTTGTGATGTGGTATGAGGATGACGCATGCAGTCTTGGGACGCCAGTATGTACTGGGGCGTCCGTCTGCCGCGGTCGTTGCGTGTTCAGAGGTTCACTCGTCGCCAGTCGTCACAGCGAGTTTGGGCGCGTCCTTATGTCGCCTTTGCGTTTATTTATAAACTCACGCGTCACTCTTATTATAATTGATAAACTGATGTTTACTACGTCTATATCTACGCTTTATTGTGACTCTCGGTTCAATTGCTTCTTCGGGTTGTTACAACTCACGGAGACCTTTTGGAACATTGGCCTTGGACTGCATATTTATTAAGGTATTTGTGTACGCTAATTATTGTTCCTTATTCAGTGATCCTTTATTGTGTATTCGTTCGAAAATATATCTACATTAACATTAACATTACCTACTTCCTACCTTCTTAAAAAAACTGTATAACTGGTCAATTAAGATTTGAAGTATGTGTTTTTTAAGAAGGCTTGAAAGAGCAGCTTTGTCCAATAACGTCATACCAAAAAATAAAAAAATCAGGGAATTTAGTACTGATGTATTTTAACATAGGTGAAGTCGTTTTGTGTAAATTAATTACAATAACTAGTTCCATATTTACTTTATAGAAGGTCTTATCATGCATACTTAAATCTCACGGCAATGAAGCAAAGTTATATGTGTAAATGTAAAGGAAAATTTGCTAAATATCCTGTCATAAGAGACCTACTAAGAAATATACCTACGTCTTGTAGAAACGTCAAGGATAGGTTGCACAAATAGGAATTTAGCACAGTTTTATGTCATTTATACAGAGTAATCAATCATACTCTTTAAATCAATCGAAGGCAAACATTCATTTCAAACATTTTGATTTAAATATTTGCCTTATTTTTTTCTTACAATTTAAACACCAATAAATTAAAAGTTTATTAGATTAGCTGCCTTGACAGACTGTTCTGTCAAAAGTTTTTGGCTTATGGCAGTCTAATAGAAAAAATAAAGAAATAAAACCTTTTTCTGAGTGAGCACTTGAATTAATTGTAAATGAATACTACACGAATACTATAGCCATGTCTTTAGTCTTTTTGTATTTTATAGTACCTTAAAAAACGTTTAAAAAAAGCTACCCTTTTTTAATAAATTTGATAACGATTCAGTCTGTCATGATCTCAGATCTGGCACTCTTTTTAATGAGCCTTAATTATAACAATTCTCAAAAGTTATGTTGTAATATGATAATCTTAGTAATAACGGAATATACTTATATAAATAGTGCAATGTTAAATCACTCGGCTTTCAACATGTATTTAATAATTAATGTTCGTCTGGTGTATAACTACAGATGATTTGATGCTCAATGTCGTGATGAGGCAATAATGTATTTCGTAGATATATAAAGAAATGATACGTCTGTTGACCATCACTAATTTTGTTTACTCATTTCACATTTTCTCTTTTGTTTTGTGTGGCTATCACTATCAAAGGTTGTAATCTAATGATATAAAAAATGTAGTAAATTGTTGTAAATGAATTGTAAATAAAAATTATACTTGTGTACTAACTATACTAGCGACTTAGTTAGAGAGTATATCGTTTTTTTATTATCTCAAAGAATTTTAACAATTTTACGGTAAAACAAGACACCTCACTCTTTTTAATGAGCCTTAATTATAACAATTCTCAACCGTTATGTTGTAATATGATAATCTTAGTAATAACGGAATATGCTTATATAAATAGTGCAAAGTTAAATCACTCGGCTTTTAACATATATTTAATAATTAATGTTCGTCTGGTGTATAACTACAGATGATTTGATGCTCAATGTCGCGATGACGCAATCATGTATTTCGTAGATATATAAAAAATGTTGCGTCTGTTTACCTTCACTAATTTTGTTTACTCATTTCATATTTTCTCGTTTGTTTTGTGTGGCTATCACTATCAAAGGTTGTTATCTAATTATATTTATGATGTAGTAAATTATTGTAAATGAATTGTAAATAAAAATTACACTTGTGTACCAACTGTACTAACGACTTAGTTAGAGAGCATATCGTTTTTTTTTATTATCTCAAAGAATTTTAACCATTTTACATGTTAATACAGGTAATAAATTGTGTGCGAAATTAAATCGAAATCCTTCAGGCTGTTCCAGCGTGATTGAGTCACAAACATACTAATAAAATAACTCTAAAACTTCTAAATCTATAAGGAAAATTTACCTTTTATTTAAATGTATAATTATATGACAAATTAAAAATGTATCCTTATGGTACAATTTTTAGTTTCGAGTTTTGAAAAGACGCGTGTAATTAAAAAGATTTTTGCTTAAAGAAATAAAGAATATATACTACAATTACCATTGCATACCTGTAAATGGTTCCTGGGAGGACGGAGGTCGGTCTTGCTTGGCAGACAAAGCTAGCCAATAGTCAATAGTAGTAATCTTCCTTAAGATTTTTTTTTTGTGATTACGTTCTTAACTCGCTTCTCAAAATTAGGTCCCTCAAACCATTTCAAAACGCGAAGTTTGTTTTAATTAAAATTGTAAACAAAATTAATATCTACGAGGGCTGCTATTTATGTATCCGGAATATCAAAGTGAAACATAACATTTATTATAGTTTTATTGCTTTTCAAAATATTCGCCGTGATGATCGGTGCATCGATTGCATACGTTGGAACCAATTTTCATAGCACTTTTTCCATTCTGATTGTGGTATCTCTAAAACATGCATTTTGAACGCATCAACAGCCTTTTCAAGGCTCGAAAAACGTTGACCACGTAATTTATTTTTAAAAATAAGTAGAAGTAGAAAATAAATAGAAATCGTTGGGGGCCAAGTCAGGGAAGTACGGCGGATGACCCGTTAATTCGATCTTTCGATCTGCCAAATACTGAGTTGTTTCGGCCGATGTGTGGCAGCTAACATTGTCATGATGAAGAAGGATTCTGCTTTGTCGGTTATTCTTTCTTATTTCTTCAAAGACTTCGGGCATACAAATGGTCGTGTACCATTCAGAATTAATCGTTTTACGATCCTTTAGTTGCACTGTAGCCACATGTCCATTGTTACCAAAAAAAAAAACAAGCCACTTCAAAGTGCTTTTTGAACTAATGAGTTTTGTTGGGTTCGGCTGATCTTTACTTGTTTAGTTTCAAAATCATACCCAAGATTCATCATCTGTGTAGATATTATAGCCAACTTTTAACGCACCCTAATTGGCCCGTTAGTAATCCAACGTGAACATATTTTTTTACAGCTAAATGTTCGTGTAATATTTTATATATACTTGTCATACTTATTCCCAGAGACGACTGCCTCGTAACATGACGCTCTTGCATTATTAGTTCCCGCACAGCATCAATATTTTGAGGTACAACAACCGATTTAGGGTGACCTTCCTTAAATTCGTCGGTGAACACAGCCCTCGATTAAACTCACTTAACCAGTGATACATAGTTGTTTTTGATAGTGCTTCGTCACCAACAGTCGAAGTAAGTTGATCGATGAACTGTTTCTGAGTTAGCCCTCGACGAAAATCGTAATAAATCATAGCACGAAAATGTTCACGAGTTAAATCCATAGTGATAAAGACACGCAATTTTCAAAATGATGCCACAAAGGATAAACAAATGACAGCTACATGAAACGATGTGTATCCTTCAGCCAAAGAGTTGTATTTTTAAATGTTTTAATTACTCATTCAATATTGTTCTGTAACTGGCTAGTTCCCGATACATAAATAGCAGCCCTTCTATCAGTCAATTTTTAAATTTTGAAGTTTTTTTCATCAATAAAGATTAAGCACCTCTGTAATTTTACAGTAACAACATCTTTCAATAATGAGTTCTACCCTTGGATGAAGGCTACGTTAGAAGACTTGTTTATAAAAGGCTCATGAAAAAAGTCTTGCGTATAATAGTGGAAGTTGCATGCCTAATAAGTATTAAATACTTATATCTTTCGATTTACATAGTATAGTTTAAAAAATATATATGGCGCGGGTATGTTAAGTATACGTATAAAAGAACGTTGTCCGTTATTCAAGATGATTGTAGCAGACATATTTTCCTTAAATTAATTAAGAGAAATTTTCGTACCTAATTGACCTAATCAACTTACAGAGAACGAATCAGGCAGCGAGGGGAGCTCGGGACACCGTGGGTCGCTGCGCGGAGCCAACAAGTTGGCGAGGCGCGCCCGGTCTTTCAAGGACGACTTGCTCGAGCGCATCTCTAACATGCGTTCACCGGCGCAGCAACACCATCTGCCTCATTTCTCATCTAATGTCAGGTAAACACATACGCTTCATGCACGCCCGCCTCTTTGATAACGCGAATAAATTTTGGATATGGTTTTTGTACACAAACATTTTTATTTTTGACTTTGCGTATGAGTAAAGGCAATTTATTTTTAGCAATCGAAGGCTACAAGATGTGCACGAAGGAATGTATATAGAATTAATTTTAGCGATACAATCATCGCTAAGAATACAGAGTGTCACCACTCCTATTCATCCCGTGGGTGTCGTAAGAGCACACACAACAGCACTGCAAACTTGAAACAAACCCTATACCAACCGCATACAATAAATTTAAAATGTGTTGTATCGCAAGCGAAGAATATTATCATCCTACTGGTTAACAACATTGCTATGAAATCTTTAAACTGTATATTGTTTCTTATCTATATTGATAAATTAACATACATAACTGTGCTATCTTTAAACAGACTGACAGCGGTATAAGAAACTGTCGCTCACACAGTATTATCTCTGACACTGGTGCAAGAACTATGTTATTTTGTTAAGTTTTGTGATTAGGTTTTTATTATAATAGTCACGTAAAACATTGTGTCGTAACCTTTATCATATATCGTACAAAATTTCTGAACTAGTAACGAGTATTGGAGGCCGTTATTAATGTGGACATCGTACTAAATGTGGCAGTAATTATGAGTCACGAGGACAAACCGCGACTGTCACACTCATTAGTACATTGTCCGCTGAAATCTCATTAGTTTAGTGCGTGCAATGTTAAGTGATTACATTTTAATGTCCGTGCGTGGGCTGTCAGCGTGACCGAGGTGCTTTTTATTTATTGAGCGGTCGGTGGTCACAGTTTTTATCATGTCTCAGAAGTCCCAGTGAAGTTGTTTGAAAGTAGTTCTGTGTGCAAGACGTTCTGACAGCAAATAGTGTTGAGGACTGTTATTTGCGGTTCAGGCGTGGTGGCTCTCGGTAGTTCTAAATAAATGTCGAACGCAGTGAGATCGCCCGTCGGCGATTGGTTCAACAGACGAACAAATAAACTACAGCTGAGATTAGCTAACAATGGAAAACGGTATGAATTGACTGATGTTATGCGTATTTATGGAATGTTTAATGGTAGCAGACGCTGTAGATACTCATTACCAGCAACATTCTTGAACTTTGATATCACCCTGAGAAATTTTAATTGAGATAACATGATTAAGAAAACATCGTATTGCAATACTGATAACACATGCTGATAACATATATTAACTTATTTAAATTGTGCCAAAACATATGATTCTTTTGAAGTATTTTATCTAGGAAACGTATTTTGGGACAAATTATTCTTTGTATTTAAACAGAAATAGCCTTGACTTATAAATCAAAATTACCTTGAGTTGCTTAAATAAATAGTTCTTGTTTACATAAGTAGGTATCTGTCTGGGTAGGTATTTTTATGCCAACATAACATCTATGAAACGTACAGAAACATGTTTTATTTAATGACGTCATCGATGTTATTTTTACTTAAAACATAACATATTGGAATTTTGGTAATGACCTAGTTCTACTAGTAAACAGGTTATATTGCTAACCTATTTTGTTAAAAAAATAGCTTGCTACGGCTTCACAAATGTTAGCAGTTCAATGACATTGTTCTCAAGGTCTGTTTGAAAACAACCTGTTGTCAATTTTCTAACACCAGCTAATTGGGCAACATTCACATATTATTTTTATAAATTTATTTTACTTCTATCGTTAGATATATTTTGATTATATCCCGGTATACTATACATATGTGTCGTGGCCAGATCATAGTATTGATAGCTTAATATGAAGTGATCAATTCTAGGATTTGGCCTCGACATAGACATAAATAAATTAACTAGTTCCACAAAAAAAAGCAAATGTCTTTGAATGTTTTTTTTATTTTTTATTTTTTTTATTATTTTTTTTTTAAAAGACAACTCCCGCATTAGGAATATATATCCTGTGTCGCGGGGGACTTTACAAACATACATGAAACGGACACAAAGAACACCCAGACTCAGAAAAACAATTTGTGGATTACACAAAGTGACGTCCCATGTGGGGTTTGAACCCACAACACTCGGCGTAGTAGGAAGCGGCGTGGCGACCGCTTAAACCACTACGCCATCCGTGCAGTCAATTTGTCAATGCCATTATTTCATTTGCCGTAGTTTTGCGCCTATGTGTAGATTTACTTACACATCAGATTCTTCTATAACGTTTACCAACCCAGCAATGATTAAGAGAATGCATAGAATTACTGAGTTGCTTGTATAAATAAAAATTTATAGAGTAAAATGTCATTTAATTATGAATGTAAACACAGTCAAGATTCAATGGAAATATAATTTCTTTAGATTTTAGCAATAACTTAGAAACTTAACTTTTCTTGTATTACAGCAGATCCCATTCACCGCTTAGTCCGAAAATTCGGAACATGGCCACAAAGCCCACGGCTGAAGAGGGAGAAGTTACACCTGCCAAAGAACTTGAACGGCTAGTCAAAGAGGTTAGCAGAAAAACAGCTCTTGTATTATCTCGTTAATTGTTCATTATTTGCCGGTATAATATAAATAAAGTCTATTGTTTGCAGGTTACATTTGGTTTAAAACACTTTTCGGATGTTATTACGAAGAGGAAACTGGAAATGCTCCCCGACAATGGCACCATTGTTTTTGAATCGATTGCAAATATACACAAAGGTAAAGGCATGTTTTATCACATTATCTCAAGGAATTGAGGTGTTGATGAGATTTCAGCTCTGTAGCTTTTCTTTACGGAAATCGTCTGTAATCCTATTATTAAAACTAGTATTCGCCTAGTCCTAGCCTAGCCATAATCATGGTTAAAATAACAATTATTTATTTAAAATGTAGTGCACATGTTGTACAAAGGCGGATATAATGCCATGGAGCATTCTCTCCCAGTTAACCTTCAAGTGATGTAGAAATAGGATGTCTACCACATCCTGCAACAATAAAATATAAAATTTGACATGTTGAAGTCCAGAAGTAGACAGAATACATACACAATATATAAACACATAAATTTAATGTAATTTAAATTCAAACAATTTACCTTCGTTTGATGGTAGAAATCTAAATTTTATTTGAAAGTTAAACAAACTATTCACAATTTTTATTGATAATAAAGTATGTACATTCAAATTAAAAGAAAACAAGTTTATTCTTCGAACAACAAATAAATGAATTTTTTTTGCAGAGGTGAGATTGCTTATACTCTAAATATATGACATCTTACTTTAAGAATATCATGTTTTGTTCCAGCAATTAAACCATACTGCAGTCGGTCACCACAGCTTACAAGTGCAGTGAAGCGTCTCTGTGCTGCATTGGCAATGTTAATACGTCTTTGCGATGAAATCACTGCTATGAGTTTGCGAGCTGACGCGGCGAAGGAGGAACTTGATACTTCAGCCCCTGCGTTGTCACCAGAGCACGTCAGTTCAGTAGTGAAGGGAGTGACCGCGGCAGTTGAAGAAGTGTCAGTATTAGCACAGCAACATATGACCCGACCGGCGCTGTCCCCACGCCCTGCTCTTGTTTCGCCACGGGCTTCAACGCAGAGAAATTCTTTACCAGGTAAGTTCCTATCAGGTTCCCGAATACCTTTAGCACTTCAAATAATATTTTCTACATATATGTACATACACTCACGTCTTTATCCCCGAACGGATAGATGGAGGCGTATAGTTACTTATTATAGATAAATGACACCCAGACGCAACAATCAGTAAACTAATTTTTTAACAGATTTAAAATGAGATGAAAAGAGCTCCTTTCATTATTAATTGCTATCGTGTCTAAGATAACTTTACTTAATTCGCCTTGCCCGATAGATACGTATGTAAATTTATAAGCTTGTGAAAATGACATTTCAATTTCTCGAGATCGTGGATATTATGCAAAGCAATAAATAAATATTTTTTTGTCATATACGCTTAAAAATAGATTTCTAATTTTTGTTCTTTTAACCTTTCTAGATATACCGTTGACACCAAAAGAGCGTTCTTTATTGACGGGCGAACCGGGAAACGAATCAGCAGGCGTGCGCGCCTCACACTCGTCCGAGTCGGTTTTGGATGCACCCGACTCACCTCCACCGAAACCTGCTAGGCCAAACAGGTGAATTTGTTAATTTTCTTACTAATTCAAACACTATATTTAGTATATAAGTATTAGTAGTTGATGACGAAATTCGCTGCCTTGGGCCGAAAAGGTCTGCCTAACGTTTAACAGGGCATGTAATATCTATTCGAGATCTTTGCGTTAATGCACAAAAACATAATTGATATATAACTACCTGTACCTTGCCACGCTTCGTTGTTGCGCAATATGGTTGTATTGATGAGAAATGAAAGAAAAATAACGCGAAAAATAGATAAATCCGGTTGCATAATCAATCCGAATTGAATCTGGTCTCAAAATTGGAGCTCGATCGGTGCAAAACTTGTTGACTTTTTGAAGCATACACAAACCAACTTAACAATTCTGTATATTGAGATGTAACATGATAATTTAAGTGTTTACATTATTAACATTGCAAGAAATCACAGTTAAAAACCTTCTTTATATCTATAATTACTGTACAATAAAGCAGATATTAGTTTGTATTGGAAAATAGGTTTGACTGAGAGTGTAGTGTTATTTTCCTATTTGAGAGATAGAGTAATAAATAGAGTATACAGATGAATATCGGCAATCGCTACCACCTGAACGCTTATGTCCTTTATTCAAGTAGTAAAAAATTAACTTGCCTATACATATTTCAAGAAAAAAATAGTAGTACTTATTACCCTTGAGACTATTTAGGGTGTGGGAACCATAAACCATAAGCTAGCGCACAAAGCAAGCTTCTATTTGTTTACTTGCATAAAAATACTTGAAACTGTAGGGTACTTAGTAGGTTTGCATTGTGTAACTTTCGTGTAAAAAACCATTTCAATATCACAACATACGTACAGTATTGATTGGTATTAAGTTTAATAACGTTATTGCAACACTTTCTAAGTATCGCGGTATATTTAAATTTATTTGTTGATATTAAGCGTTTTATAGTTGAACTTGAGTTGTGTTGTATTTATGTTGAAGTTATTGTAATGCTAACTAGGATTGATTGTTGAATGATTAGCATCACTTACTGCCTTTATTTAAGGCAGTCATAGACGAGGTGTTTAAGATATAATTGTGGCGGTAGTAGGCGGTGTAGGCGGGCTCACTCGGTGTAATAGAACGGCCTCACAGAAAATAGTCCCTGATCCTGGGTTACAAATGTTACTGGGCGGCGGTAGTCACTTACAATCAGGTGACTCGACGGCCCATTTGTCCCTCCACCCGTACCGTAAAAAAATAGTTTTTTAATTATTAAGGTAAATTTTACCAAAGAAGAACGGCAGATCCTGTACACTTAGTGATATATGATGGATGGTTATGAGATTTGTTCTATTTATAAATTTAATTATCCTAACTATTTTCGTGTAATTATCATAGTTTCATACCTTTGCTAAAAGTATATAAATTCTTCTCAAAAATTGTTACAACTGAAATTCCTAAATGTTCAAGTGTTGTCAACAAAACGCGTCCCTATTTTGTAAACTTGCCATGCATAAAAGATAAATGACATAAAAAACGATATGTTTAAATCGATATTTACGAAATAGGTCGCTAGTGTATTTAGCAGTTATAAACAATCTTTTTTTTTTTACTAATGTTAACTGACTTGTAATAAAGAAATTTCGGGAAATGGACTAATTATTTTTATTAAAATCGATTAGTTTTCCTTATATCCTAAGAATGCAACATAAGTTTAGGAATTACTTACCATTGTTTACCATAATGGCAACAGATCGTTTGATGTTAGAGAAAACCAGAGCGGTTTTGGAGCCATGCTAGGTGCGTAACCTTTTACGTTTTTTTGGAGTAATAATAGGAAAAGAACAATATCGTTGCTATTTAGAAACGTTGACAAGATTTTAATAATAAGGTACTAACGTTAACTTGTTGACAACAATTGTAATGGATATAATGCAATAGCAGATTGTAGTGTAAAAAAAATCAAAGAAAATGATAGTCGTCGAAGTTAAATTCGTTAGAATTTACGCAATTTTTCGATTTTTATTTTCTCAGCTTTTAATACCGTTTTTTTTGTTTTGCGAAAATGTATTAATATTGGCTTCGAAAAAACCTTGCCTGATCCTTAAAAAAAGCATCCTATGACACTTTAAAAAAATACCTTTTTTCGTTAAAAAATTGCACTGCAGCCTCTGCATAATTATAAATCAGCCAGATGCATGACAGAGCCGTGAAAACACAAAGTAATAATATATAAACTATAAACCGAAATAACTTTGAACGCAAAGTTCTTAACGTCTGATCATTCTTTTTCTTTTTTTAAAAGACAACGCCCGCATTAGGAATATATCTTGTGTCGGGCTTTACAAACATACATGGAACATACACAAAGAAGACCCAGACTCAGAACAACAATTTGTGGATCACACAAAGTGTCGTCCCATGTAAGGATCGAACCCACAACACTCAGCGTAGTAGTAACCGGCGTGGCGACCGCTTAAACCACTACCCCATCCGTGCAGTCAAAACTGTAATTGTCGACGATATTAACAATAATCCGTACCATGAGATTCGCAAGGCGGTACGAAAGTTCCATACATGCCTGCCATTGTCCTTTATTGGACATATTTGTTGAATTGTTTTAATAAGTTATTAATATTTTTTTTTATCAGGAAGTCTAAGATTATTTAAGAGTTGTTATTTCCCTAATAAATTTAGTATCTAGTTTGGTTAGTGAGAGTGCTATTTGTGTTACAGGAAAATCGAGTTGGCCCCACCTCTACCGCCTAAGCGTAAATCAGCGAATGACAACTCTTTACTGGGTCTCTCCATTGATAGGTTAGTTAGACTAACGTTTTAGAAAGCTATTTTTACTTCAATGAGAGGTTTATATTTGTGTACTTGTCATATTTTCTAAAAGTCTATAATAATAACATTGTAAAGCACTACAGCAAAATTTGAGAGTATTCTTTGTAAATTGTCTGCAAAGGTGCACCTCTGCAACTATAACTATAAACTTATTTATATGAGTTTGCTAAAATTGAGTCAGTCAACCTATTGCAGCTCAGTTAGACTTTGTTTTAAGTGTTCGTCGGCAAACTTTTTAGGCTATCGCTTAACAATAAATCACGTTGTTTAAAGTATCAGGGAGCCTTAAGCTTATAATCCTCTAAATTTTTATGTAATAAACTAAATGATGAATGATATTGAAAAACTTGATTATAAAGATGCCAAATCGGTAAAATATATGTATGTGTTATATTTGCAGATTGTCTCTTCAATCTCATAGCAGTGGTTCTCTGGATTCTATGTTGAACGTGTCCCATGATGACGACCGGAACGCACACGATTCTTCAAATCATGTGTTTGCACAACATCCAAGCTCCGATATAGTTGGTCAGTTGATCCTAATTAAGTATTTACATAGTTACAGGTTGTAACTTACAGTACATTCGCTACTGAGTATAAGCTACGAGCATAGGCATTTTATAGAACTATCTGAAATAGGTTGTTATGATTTAAGTATGTGACCTGAGATGATGTGAAAATAGTCTGTAATAGTGTACGTTAAATATATGGAGGTCTAAAATAATTAACTACTTAAAAACGAGAAAAAGATCAAAATATATTTACAGATTTTAAATGTGTATAATATATGTGATAAATATAGTAGAACGATATAAAATGTTTTAGTTTACATAAAATAACTGATAATTTATCAGTTATTTTATGTAAACCAAAACATGCAAAATTTTGTAATAAAAAATTAAATGTAAAATCGTCAATTTGTCTAAGGAGGTAAAGAAACATTGTATATTACAACAATTTTATGTAAAAGTTTAGCGAAGCGTAAAATAAGTATGTTATATCATTCGTGGTTATATTTTTATTTACAGAACTTGTGTTACCAGTTCAGCAGTTTTAAATACATTTAAGCATGACTTGGTGTGTGTAACACATTACACAGTTACATAGCACTATAATATAGTAGTAAAACATATATAAAAAAGTGTTACGATGTTTAGTTTTCCCACAAAGAAAGTAAATAGTCTTGAAATTGAAAGTGTTTTCTGACTTGTTTGAATTTCGCTCCCAGGCATAGAGGTTACGAATTATGTATCATCGTTCGTAACGTTTGTGCAAGCCTTAAGTTCAATGAATGAATCCAAAAATGTTGTTGTAATTTTGCAGGCATGTGTAGCTGTAATAATGTTAGCGAATTGCGCGCATCGTTGGAGTCGCACGACTCACACGAAACGCATCTCAACTCGACTCACGCGCATGAACACTCAAACCACAATCGGTATGTCAGCCAGTATGTACGATATCATTTTTGTTTCTTTTTTTTTATTTTATTTGTAAATTGCTTTTAAAACGAATTTTGACACGAATGTAAACTTCTTTTATCTGATAGTGCTTTTGATTGTGATTTGATTCTTTAGCTTACAAGTGTATTGTAAAAACTGCTTCATCTATTTCCAAGTTTCTCCAACGAGTCCGGTTTCGTGTCAGTGGGCCACGCCGAAATGTCTGCGGAACACAGTTTCACTTCTTTATTCTCATCACATCACTACTCTAGCCATGCGGACAGGTAACCTTATACTACTCCTCTTTCATTGTTTGCAACTTGCACTTATGTTTGTTTTGCACATTTTGTATTCATTCAATACTTTGACATCTCTTTGATCTTCTTCATTTGTTGTTCTCTGTGCATCCAAAGAATTTTAATATACTTTTGTTGGAAAAATATATATAAAGCCACTCATATATAAATAGATAAACAAGATCACTATTAAAATGTATTAAAAAGTATATTAAACATCTTTAGTGTCATGCTTTCTGTTATTGTTTTTGCAGTATTTTTAACAGTACAGACTGTGTGACGGAAATGAAGTGCACACTTCAAAGTTTTGAGAGCCGCATGAATGTTAGCAATACAAACAGTATAACCACGCACCATTCTTCAAAGTGAGTGTCCCCTCTTTATTACCACACATGCCTTTTATGTGCCATTAATACTACATTCCATTTTGGATTGGCCTTAGTTACTTTGTTTTTGTGTTAATTAGTGTCATTATTACCATTAAATAGCAATTTTAGAGTTGTGGTTATCATCTTATGGTACAACAGTTTAGGCTTGTGCATTGTCTAAGATCGATACTGTTCTATTTAATTGTTGGCCAGTTGTTTTTTTTTAGATATTTAGTTACATATGCAAACTGAAGAACGTGATATATACGAGGTTATAAAATTACTGTACTCGAATACACATTGCACACTCATAAACCTAAATCAGAATGTACAACCACACGCAATTTACAAACAGATATAATCACAATAAACACAGTACATAGCTTGTCAGATTTTCTTTAAATTGTCCATTCACTGTAACTTGAAATATCGCAATTTATTCAAGGATTTAGTTGTTTACTATCGTAATATGGTTATTTCACGGCAGACTGGCCAGCATCACGTCAAACGAGTCGGAGACGCCGCCCGAGCTGCCCGTCAAGACTCGCAACATTCGCCTCGACGTACAACAGCACTTCCCCACTGTCGAAATCAGGTGATTACTTAACGTAACCTTGACTTACACTCGTTTTGTTTTAATTATTGCGTTTAGATTTTTATCGGTGTCTCGGTCGCTCGGTAATCGTTACTATGTGTACTAGTGTGTCATATTAACTACTGATTATAATCAACTGCGGACACGATTTACGAAAGACGGGTGAACAGAAACACCATAATGTGAAATCGAAATTTTGTAAGTTTAAATAAATAGTTTTAATAGATCTGTTCGTTCGTCTCGATCACTCTTACGAAATCGACTTATTATACGAATATGAGATAATATAAAATTCTGTGAGTGTGTAATAAATAGATTTATGTGATATAAATGTGATAAGTGGTCGTGGTTAAATACATAGGATATTTATGTGTATCGGCAGGTCGAGCGGTGTGTGCTCCCTGCACGGCGAGCCGCGGCCGCACACGCTGGCTGTGCACCAGCCGCCGCGCCCGCCGCCGCTGCCGCTCAAGAAGAAGCACAGTCAGTACCTCGCTTGCCATACCACCCGCACGGCTGACATGACTATATTATATATGACGTGTCATATATTAGATATTTGACACTATTATAGCGCCTTCTAGGGCCTTGATGTATTGAATTACAAATCTGCGCACGCTCACACCCTTGCAATTTGCAAGCGGGTCTAGCTCGTTGTGTTCTTTTAAGTATCCTTGCCATATGGACAATTTTTTTATCTGAAATCGATTCAGAATGTGCTTGTATTTTAAATTTCATTTTCACAGGAGGTTGACTTGATGTTGAACCCTTTTTGGTAAAAAAAAAAATTGAGATTGTTGAGATTTTTTCTGAAACTTAATAAGTACTGAATTTCTGAGTGTCCTTTTTTTAAGTTGATTTTTCCTTTTAGTCATGTCAGTCGGTGTTCAATAATTTTAACGATGCGACTTGTTTTTAATTATATTACCAGTATTGGTGGAGGAATGGTACATCTGAACTACATAATTATAATAAACTGTATATAATATCCTGTCGATGGAACTACTGAATGTATTAATTGTATCGTGCACTGTCACTATCGATGGCACTATTCATGATTGTCCCTTCTACGCGATGTCTGTGATCTACTTTGCAAACTTTTTTAACCCAAAAACTATTCATTGTCATGGTCATTATTTCTGGGGTGCCTTGGTATATGAATGATTTGTAATACGTGGGGTTATAACGGCATGTTTGTCTGTTGTGCCGGTGCCGCGCGGCAGTGTTCCAAAGCGTCGCGTACAGCGGTGAGTGGATCAATGCATGTAAAGCGATATTTAGCTCCAAACACACCATCTAAGCGAACATGCCAACATATGTGACTCATCATTTTTAGAACTTCAAAGTCTACTCCATCAACGGACATATTGGAGACTCATAAGATGTGCTTTAGCAGTCAAAAACGCTTTTGTCACTTACATTACACAAATAGGCACCATTTTCATTATCTTATGTTTTACGGGGTCTACCATGCCAAGAATAACAGTAGGCATATATGTAAGGTAAATGTACACGTATAACGGTAATGCTAAGATGCTTATCAAAGAAACATCCTATAGCTGATGTAATGAGTGAATCGTTCGTATATTAATTTTTTTTGTAATAAATAGATATAAAAATATAAAACAGATGAATTGGCTGTATGCGCTCTTTTTACATTAAAATTATTAATTAAAATTTAGCTGTGCTGATTCATAAGGGAAATATGTATGGTAGACACCTGGCTTGCTTTACACTTGTAAATGACGGGGTTCGCCTACAAATTGGCTTTGCCGCTTATATGTGCGTTACATAACAAAAGCGGTACTCGAGCCGTAGTTAATTATCACCTAAGATTAATGTTTAGTGCTTCATTACAACTACACGTTATTGCTATATACTGCTAATTTGAAGGTGGTTTTTAGAACTGTTTAACATTTTCGCACTCGCTCTTAGTGTATCATACTGTGTCTAACTGTAAGGTATATTAAAATTAAACTGGTGTTCATTTTCCTAAATAGGGGTTGCATTAGGTCATAAATGTTTGTGTAGCTTTGTAATTCAGCTTTACAGCCATTTAGACTCTAACCTTTTTGTTACTTATGTAATTAAAGTGTAAAGAAATGAAAATACTTATTTACTAAGTGAACTCCTAAAATGATACCCAGTGGTGAATTTTACTATACCTCTTCTGATCATTGTTAAGTGTTGTACTAAAGGCTTATTATATATATAGTAATGGCGTACATGGAAATGTTCGGCAACTGCAGCCATCCACCGAACAATGCCGCTGCTCCACCGGATATGTTCCGGCATTCTATACACACCTATAATTTAGCCAGGTATATATTTTTAGTGTCACAAATTACTAATGATTACGTACTGGAGACACTTAGTTAATAGTAACTTTTGGATGTATGCATGATGTGCAATGAAGAGCAAAAGTATGAAAAGTATGAGAGGAAAGTGTGTCACAGGTCATACACATTTTATTTGCCGCACTTGCACAGTAAAGTATTAATTTACATTATATTTTACAAAACCAAACTTCTTCCATGCTTTCCACAGCAATCAGTATAGCATTCTTAGATTTTTTTGTTCTTTATAAGTATATAGTAAAATAAATAAGCAAACTAATCTGATATAATGACTACGAAAATAAGAATCTTATCAAATCATATAGTAGCTATAGTAACTTTATGGTTTAATGGACAACTGTCAATCCTTGCATTTGTATTTATTGCTCAAAATCTAATAATGTAATGACATTGTTTCCCAGTGCTAAACATACGAACGATGGAACATTGAGCGTACAACAAGTTCAACGTTCTATTGCGCAGTCATTTACTGTCCAGCACTTTGGAAACCCACCGCTGAGGTAAGCTTTTGTAAAAGGAAGAAAAAACATATTGACATCTAACACTTTTGCGGAAAAAACGTTCACTTTAAAATACTGATTGTAGGATTTGATTGGGTTTTTAAATATTCGAAGCTTCTTCAATGTTTTTTAAATACCTTAAAAGTAATTCGATACTCGTCCAAAAAACAGACGTAGTAATTACAGATACAATAAAATATACTAACGCCTTCTTTTTCGGATTACTAGTGTATGAGTATACGTATTATTTAGACAAATATATCATTTGAATTGCCTTAGCAGTCCAAATTCACAGCATTAAAAAAACTGAATATAAAATATCGGAACAGTTCGTTTCTAGCGCTTCGCCGGCCGCTGCCACGGCACGATCGATCGCGCTCTTGGGGTCGCAATTCTAACTAAACTCTTTTTTTGCAGTAGTTCACACAACTCAATTTTTTGGAATATAATATATTTCAAAATAAAAACGTTTGCTTAATAAACATTTGTACGTAATAAAACTTGAAAAGTAAAATGATGCCAACAGCTAATAATTGATCAAGTGAATAAAATGCAAAATATAAATTCATTTGGGAAAGGAAACTAGGGCGATTTTTTGGGTAGTGAAATTTGACGAAAAATATTTTGCCCAAAGGTCTGTACTGTACACCCTTTATTTCTCTTTTGCAGCGGCTCTGAAGACAGTGTAAACATGATAACATCGAGTGGCACTAGTCCTATTCCTCTTGAGCCTCCAGCCTTGCCACCTAAGATGAATAAGAATAAACAGGTAATAAGTTGACCTTATACTTACTGCATCTTCGCAGAAAGAGGGTGATAGTGTAAAGTAAACCCAAATTACTATAGTCCATTCGCGTTAAGAAATTATTGATGTGTCCCGCCCCCAACAATTCAGGATCCATGCTTTCGTACGGAGCGATAATTTCTTTTTACCTGATTGGTAAGGAGGCGGGGCTTTATCGATCGCTATTTTCTTAACGCGAATGGACTACAGTGTATTTGGTAAGTAGTCATTTTGTAAATGGTATAGTAAATAGCATGTTCTTTATCACTTTATCAATTATCATTGGTAGTGCAAGTATAAAAGTAAAAAGAGCACGAACAGAATAGTATAGCTGGCGAGCTTCACTCTTGGCAGATCCGATTATTTTGTTATTGCTTCAGATTATTTATTTTTCAGTTTATAATTGAGTTTAAGTTCCGTTAGTTAATATTAGTTTAATATACTACTCTGTCAAGAAAGTACCGGGAAAAGATCAATAATACACACCTTCAAAGTATGCTTCTTTAGAAACGATACACTTACGCCAACGAATAATCCAATCATCAAAACATTTTTTAAACGCTGTTTCCGGAATTGAGTTCAGTTCTCGCCGCGATTCTCCTTTATGTCTTCTACCGATTGAAAACGGGTGCCACGAAGTGGTAATTTGAGTTTAGGAAAAAGGCGGCTGGAGCCATATCTGGTGAATATGGTGGTTGCTCGATGGTATTTGTTGAGTGTTTGGTCAAAAATTTGTTCACAATGATGGCCTTGTGCGAAGGCCCATTATCGTGGTGCAAAATCCAAGATTTTTTTTTCCACAAATCTGGCCTTTTTCGTCGAATTTGCTCTCTTAAATGCCGCATAACGCTCAAATAATATTCTTTATTTACCGTTTTACCTTTCGGCCAGAATTCCGAGTGCACAACACCGCGATAGTCAAAGAAAACACTCAACATGACTTTGACTTTTAATCGACTTTGAGGCGCCACTCGAAAGCTTGTTGACTAGTTTGCAGCTTGTAGACCAGTAACAATGCGTTTCATGAATGTTGGGTCGAAATTGACTCATTCTAGCATGTCCTCGGCGACTCTCATGCGATTGAGTTTTTGGAGAAAATTCAGGTCTTTTGGGACTAGGCGAGCGGTAACGTAATGTAATATAGGTAATGTTTCATACCTAAATAATTAGTTAAAATGGTACGGATCGACTCGTGAGATACAGAACGTTCGGCTGCTATCTCTCTCAAAGTTGAATGAGGATTTTCAGCCACTTTTTCCTTCACTTTTGCGATGTCAACTTCAGTTGCAGACGTTGATATCATCCTCGACCTCGACTCTCGACTTGAACGCTTAGTACCACTATTAAGCACGTGTTTTTGATAAAGTCGATTCACCGTAAGCCTTCTGTAATATTTTCAGTGACTCCGAACACGAAATTCCATTGGCGATGCAAAATTTAAGAAAAACACTTTGTTCGATGTTTTTGTCAATTACGAAATTCGCAATACATACCAGATATGATATAACTAAAAACAGCACTGTACTTAATATAAATAACAGATGCACCTTAAACTCCGAAATGAAAAACAGTTGTGCTAATCTAACATCAACAAAAAAAAAAACGAAAATTTGAATTTGGAACCATAAATAAATCATCCATTCCCAATACTTTTTTGAATGAAGAAATTAGTCTGCATTACCCTTTTTTCACTCGCAAAAAATTATATGTGTTTGTTCTCTTTTTACAGTATCAAATGAGTAACAATGAGCTACTACCTCCACCATCACCTCGGCCATCATCGCACAACAGTTCTCATCATAGTGCCGACGAAACACTATTGAACAATGTAAGTTACTTGAAATATCAAACCAACTATGTAAAAACTAGACTGCTGGATAAACTAGCCGCTAGAGACACTACATGATTTTAAAATGTGTCATACACAGCAACACTGTTGATAGTTTTTCTAACTAAAGTCTGTTTTTTAATCTCGTAGACTAAACTGACATTACGAGTGTTGTCAGTTTATTGCAATTCTTAAATAGTGATGTAACACAACCGAACCTTAGCGTTAATAAAATCAAGTATCGTTTTTTTACAATTGGCGATGAGCAGATTCCCTAGTGGCAAGTCGCACAACTAATGTATGACAGATAGAAATACGAATATACGTAGAATATACCGTTTTGTTCATAATTGTTTCATAATTTTTCAAGAATTTCAAAAAAATTGTACGATCGATTACGATAATTTAAGTGTTAAGATGGATACAAAGAATAATAAAAAAAAAAGAAATACTTACTGTTGTGTTCCTCAATGTAATAATTAGACTTGCAACGAATAGTATATTCGGCAGTATACCGAATACCGAATATTCGGCGAGGCCCCTGACCGAATAGCCGAATATTAGGCAAAAGTATTCGGCTGGACTTTAGCGCCAAAAACTTGTACAGACGTGAATTAAATTATGTACCTGTTTTATGTACCAATGACTACTTAATAAATGATTATAACAGAAATGAGAACCTTACCCTTCTAAATTTTGATTACCACAATAATTCAAATACATAGAATCCTCCATTTTTCCAATTCAGAAGATGATTATGTACCTGTTTTATGCACCAATGACTACTTAAATGATTATAACAGAAATGAAAATATGAATATATATGTAATCAATCGATTTTAATTTTTCATTTTACCAATTATTTCTCAATGACAAAATATATTATTTAAGTATTCGGTATTCGGCCGAATAATATGTAGATATTCGGTATTCGGCCGAATATAATAAAAGCAGCCGAATAGGCCGAATACCGAATAGTAACCGAATATTCGTTGCAAGTCTAGTAATAATTATAATAAAGAGGGTTTAAGTTTTCATATTTTTCCTACTGATGACAAGTTCAGAAAACGTTGGGAAAGTGTTCTTAGATAAAACCTTCAGCAAATTATATGCGAGTTGATAGGTTAAGGCTGATACTAACCTGTTTAAAAACAAAAGCAATGCAACACTATGTTTACATTGACCAGAGTTTCCAGCTGGTCATTTACATTTTACATCGATTATACGTGGACCTTCCGGTTTTGATGTATCCAAATTACATTCCACTTCATGTGGATAATCAAGTACACTAGAAGTTTGTGCAGCTAAGCCCAGACACTTAACTTTTTCAGATTTTCGTTCTTTAACACTAACACACATTAACATTCCACTTTTAAAATACTGTTCACCCTCACGGAGTGGTCTTTTGGTATTTTTTACCACTTCGTAGATGTCTAACAGTGAAATCATAGCAAAATTTTGTATAAATAATTTAAAAAAACAATAAACCGGCTCTTTTTATTACACAGCTAGGTGAAAGTATCTGTCATACGTTAATTAATATTATTTAACGGGAATTAACGCGATCTCTTATTTAGGGTATTACATACCTCTGGTTTGCCTGACGTTTCGACCAGGTTGCACCGGCCGTGGTCACAGGCTGACTGTGACCACGGCATAAATAAGAGATCGCGTTAATTCCCGTTAAATAATATTAATTATCATGGAACGCGAAAGTTTAAAAATGTCATACGTTAGTTCCGCAAACAGCCACTAGGGAAATCTCCTCGGTACCAATAAGTTATCCTGAAATAATGTGTTTATCCTGAAATAATGTGTAGGTACTTATTTAAAACGTAATAATACAAAATTAATAATGTAAAACATATATTTTTAATTACATAACTTAATTACAGGTATTCGCGTAAATCTGATTCAGATAATGACTCCATGTCTGAGGAATATTCTGAGTCATCAGAATCGCCACCTACTTCTATGATAAACCTATCAGTAATGTCGTCGGTTATATGGCCCAGATGACACATTTGATCTTCAATTTTAATTACATGGACTACACAGACTTTCCACCGCTGCGGGGTCACTTGACGAAGCCTTTCTTCAAAAAGGCTTCGTACTTCATTCATTTTGAATGTTTTATTATTTTTAGTGACATGTCCCTTTACTTGAGCCCAGACCAACTCAATCGTTCGTATTACGTATTCGTACAATTGTTCGTATGGTGTCAAGTTCCATAATTGCCGTATTTTTAAGTTCTGCCGTTTCGTAAGAGAAAAGGGTTAAGATTGCCGTTTTAACGCGTACGGGAACAACACTGATGGCGTCTATAATTTTTTTTTTGTTTAATTTAAAGGCATCGAAACATGGTCGGGTTACGCATGGCGTAGCGTGGTCAGATTTCCCTGGCAGTTTGTAGCACGTCGTGCAGCCGTGTGTACGTACGTGAATTTTAAATATAAAACTTTGAATGAAAATTAAGTTCGTCTATTATAAATAAAAAGTTACGATTCAACAAACCGGTATCGTAGGTACAACACTGCACAAAAGAGCTGGCAACATTATTTGTAAATTTGACATTTGCATGTGTCAATTTAGTCTACGAGATTAAAAAACAGACTATAATGTGTACCATTTGTAAAAGAAAAAAAACTTAGCTTACTTGAGTGTTTTAGCGTGTAGTTTTGAGTATCTTTATCTCATTCTGTTTTATGAAAAATTACATGAGATACTTAAGTTGAAGATCTACAAGATTGAACATAAAATGACTTATCAAACCTGAAGATGTTTTTTAAACTTTGTGTTAACAAGAAAAAATTAATATTCTACACCAGCTAAGTTTCAAAACACACTTTCCATGTGATTGGATAAATAAGTAATATATTATTTCAATTTTAGAATTCTGATGAATCATTCAAAAGTGTGACATTAGTACCTGGCAAATTCCCTGTGGAGGATGAACTGGAAATGACTGTACAACAGCCAATGCCATCGCCTGTAGGGTCTCAGGTAATATTTTATATAAGTAAATTGTAAAACACATTTTAAATATATGCAAATTTTTAATACACATTCATTTTAAATACATGCACATTTTTAATACATACACATTTCAAATACATATTATGCTCCTAGTGTGTTTAAAACTTTTCTAACTTCGTATGTATATTAATACATAGCCTTGTTGTTTCACTTGTTTCACTTAGTTACAAGTAACTACTATTCTTACCATGGTTCTTGTAGTATTGAAAAAATGATTTATTAATGTTTTTATACTAATAATATCACGTAGCAGAATAAAAATTATCGAATTGCCTATGAAATGTGAACATTAAACTAAAATACGAACTCCCGGTGCAACCCTCCTAAATAAGCTAATTATCGGTTTACATGGCTGGCTGCTTTGTGGACTATGTTTCAACCTTGTACAAGAATAAGAATACAAAGCATAGATTTAAAACTGAATAAGACGTACCTCGGTGATTTATAATCTATATCGTATACAATTATTTCTTATTGGTATTGATACAGAGAAGTGAAGCTAGTTCAGAACCAGCTTCGGGCACAGCTGAAACCAACAGAAACAGTACTCCGGCGCCTCCAGACGCGGATGATATTATCCTTCAAACGGATATTAGCTCATGGCTCGTCCTCAAGGTCCCCAACAAAGACGCCCCAGAGGTTCGCGGAGGACACCCCGACGCTCTAGTCGTACTGGCCACTAAGGCTACCAAAGGTATGGGGGACACATGCTCTATTAGCTATTTAATAATAATTAATACTTTTCATATGTTGGGTATTTACATTGACAAAGATATCATCTCAATTGTATCCGTGGCCGTATTATTATAAAACACATCAACAACCTTTAATAATCCTCTATTGCATATGGCCTCTCTTTAGAAAGGAGGTTTTGTGCCTACTATACCACATTGGCCAGACAGGTTGGTATAGGGTTTGTTACAAGTTTTCCTTCTCTTTGCAGTGCTGTTGTCCTGCGTAGTTTGCTCCCTTACTCGGTATAAAAAGTACGGACAAAATGATGACTCAATATGTGTAATTGAGGTTTTATGGATAATGGGTTCATTAACTTTTCTGACGATTGCATCGTTTTAAGACAAGTGCTCGCGTCATACTATTCATTCATTAACTATTTCCATAACGGTTTTAAGGCATGAATGCATTTGGGAGCCTGAGTCCTTTATACTAAAAATAGAACATATTTGAACTGTTTTTTTATTACCAGATTGAATTTAAATAAATGATCTCGAATCTGTTTGTTCAACCACCACCTTAATATCGGTAACATCTTTTTCTGAAAATATTTTATTGCTTCTAACCTCTTCGTCATGCTTTCACTTTACAGAAACGGACGAGTGTAAGTGGTTGAATCATTTTTTTTTTGAGGCTGAAATAATCATGCTGGTTTTTATTTTTACTAATATTTGGCAGTTTGCTCGACGTTGCTTGTCTTATTTTTTGCAGTGATGTATCGTTTAAGTATAAAACAAAAATGTTTTCGTTTTTCGCACTAACTTAGTTTAAAGATTTGTTTACACGTATTTTGCATTTTAATAATAGTCTTAACCATAAATTAGATACGACGCAAAAACGAGTCAGCTTCGGCTTAGCGTATAACGTATTCTCTATAATATATATAAATTTTATATTAAAGCCTTATATTTTATCGTTCGCTCGTATGTAATATGCTATATAACTCAGCTTTATTTATGCACTACTCGTTTGAGTGATCGTTTTACCGAAACGCTGTTACGCTATGCATCGCGTTAGACGCGGCCTACATCGTTTTCTTCATTGTTTCGCGCTAATATGCGAAATAACGAAGCGAAGATGCGCCTGTGCCGCGTCAGAGGAGAGTCCGTTGAGGTGTGAGTTTGCGCAGACTTCGCGTACCAGGAGGCGTTCCTGGCGACGTACCGCACGTGGGTGTCGCCGCGCGGCCTCGTGGGGCGCCTGGTGCGGCGCGCGCAGCACCACCGCGCGCGCCCGCACGACCTGCGCTCCACGCTGTCGCTGCTCACGCGCGTGGTCGCCGACCTCACGTACGTACACCGCCACCTCCTGTATTGTATACGTCCTTTTCAATATTTCTCAACGATTCAGACTAGGTTATTCGATAAATATTGTGACGTCGGTGACGGTCGGCCCGTGTCATTTCCGGCATAATTTATGTAATATTTTTCTTACCGGGAAATTTTAACAGAATTAATAAATAGTATTTTTTAAATTTGCAGGATATCAGACTTGGATTGTCCTCTGATGATGGAAATCATGGAGTTTATATATTGGCTCGTAGACGCCGAGGAACTACCTATAGCGAAAGCGCTAAGACAAATTCTAGTCGACAAACAGAAACAGTTGCACTTCCAACAAGTAAGTACATGGCGAATACATTTCACTAGTTACACACTGAAAAAAAAAACGAACATGGTGACCGAGTGGGTTACTTTTAAACAGAGGTCACACACTAATTGAAGCTATAGTTCAAGTTAATATAAAATTGAGGTTTGCTTAAAAAAATCTATTATCTAAAATTTATGTATTTCGAGTTTTTATGTAGAATAACATCCCTCTCAACATTTAATCTGCCCCTATTTTATTAGAATAGATACTAACCATAAACTAACAACGGCTATACCACAATAAATTGTAATTAATTCAAAACCTTCGGAACTCTCCAAATTGGTTAAATCAGCCACAGCATCATTCTCTTTAAGTCTTCGAGTGTTTTACCCATAAATTGAGTCTTTTTGTGATTGTCTATATTTTTTCAGACCAACAGCAGGTATGATTACGATACACCTTGCTACGGCAGTGTATCTCTCCGTCGTGACACTTTATTGGACTTCAAATCAATAGAGTTAGCCGAACAGATGACATTGCTGGACGCTGCTCTGTTCATACGCCTCACTACAGCTGAAGTACTGCTTTGGCCGCGTGACCAGTCCGAAGAAGGCTCACCAAATCTAACACGATTCACTGAACACTTCAATAAAATGAGTTACTGGGCGCGCTCTCGGATTTTAGAGCAGGTTCGTACGTAAAGTTACTATATAATGTTTAAATATTATTTTTATTTATATGATCGTTTACACCAGGGATTCCCAAATTATTTAGGGCAAGAGACCCCTTTTCTAAAATGAACTGATATCTCAGACCTTTATAACCAAATTACTGCGCGCTTATCGAGTTGTTGTTTTTAAAAGTACAACAATGATACTTCCCACTAAAATATTAGTTATTCTTATAACACGTAACACAGTATCTTGAAAGTTTCAAATAAGAACTTCACATCACACATCACATCACCAGCCTTTAATAGTCCACTGCTGGACATAGGCCTCTCCTTAGAAAGGAGGGTTTGGCCTACTATACCACGCTGGCCAGACGGGTTGGTATAGGGTTTGTATCAAGTCTTTCTTCTCTCTGCAGTGTTGTTGTTCTGCGTAGTTTTCTCCCTTAATCGGCTCTTACGCCACCCACGGGATGAATAGGGGTGGTGACACTGTATTCTTAATCCGTCACCACACGGACGTGTAAGAGTTAATAAGAACTTGTGTTAAATCGTCGTGTCGACCCCATTGATACCGATTTCCAAGGGAATTGAGCACTTTGGGAATCCATGGTTTACACCAATGTCATACCTAGAGTAATCTGTGAGAACCTATTATTCTTTGACGAACTGGCAGGAAAAAAAAGAAACGTTTATCAATTGCATTTTTTTTATCAGGATGATGCTCGTGATCGGGAGAAATATGCTAGCAAGTTTCTGAAAGTAATGAAGGCGTTGCGCAAAATGAACAATTTTAACTCGTACCTTGCACTAGTGTCTGCGCTAGACTCTCCACCAGTGCGACGATTAGTGGAGAGTAGGATCTTGGATGCTTTACATGAACATTGCACCATCATCGATTCATCCTCATCTTTCCGCACGTATCGACAGGCACTTGCAGAAACTCAACCGCCTTGCATACCTTACATGTAAGTACTTTACAGAAAATTACGAGTGTATATCCCCTTAAAATATCAATTTTCTTCTTCCGTATACAATATAGAGACTGAAATTAGTAAGGAAAGAAACAAAAGTCATCGTGTTCAGTAAAATGTGAATCTGTAAAAGATAAAGAAGGATTAGCTTTTTTCTGTAAATTTAACTACTGTATAGTTAGGCATGAGTAGTTTTTATATCTTTACATAATGTAAAATAAAGTCGCTTTTTTGTGCTGTACGCTTAGAGCTTTCAAACTAAGTATTGTGCAGCAGTGATTCAAGAAGAAGTTTTATATTAATTACTTCTTTCTTTATAATTATTTAAAATTAATATTTTAGAAGATATTAGAGGTTTAAAATGCGGGGCTCAACGACCGTCGAGCCCCGCATTTTCTCTGTCTCGGGTGGCAGTGGGCCTATAAATATTGCATTTAAAGTAGACTTGCAACGAATAGTATATTCGGCAGTATACCGAATACCGAATATTCGGCGAGGCCCCTGACCGAATAGCCGAATATTAGGCAAAAGTATTCGGCTGGATTTTAGCGCCAAAAACTTGTACAGACGTGAATTAAATATGTACCTGTTTTATGTACCAATGACTACTTAATAAATGATTATAAAAGGAATGAGAACCTTACCCTTCTAAATTTTGATTATCACAATAATTCAAATACATAGAATCCTCCATTTTTCCAATTCAGAAGATGATTATGTACCTGTGTTATGCACCAATGACTACTTAAATGATTATAACATAAATGAAAAAATGAATATATACGTAATCAATCGATTTTAATTTTTCATTTTACCAATTATTTCTCAATGACAAAATATATTATTTAAGTATTCGGTATTCGGCCGAATAATATGTAGATATTCGGTATTCGGCCGAATATAATAAAAGCAGCCGAATAGGCCGAATACCGAATAGTAACCGAATATTCGTTGCAAGTCTAATTTAAAGGTGTCTTGTAGTATAGTCCTATCATAATAATACTAGTATTATCTACATTGCACCCATGCGAAGCCTGGGCTAGTGATATAATAAAATTCTAATTTGAAGTAGTAGTAGGGAGATTAGGATTAGTTGTAGGCAACGGATTCTGTTGGATGATTTTGTGCTCTGTTTGAATATGTCACTCACAATCCGCAAACATCATACATTACATATTTTTATGGTCCTCGGTCGCTTTTACTTTCCTCTTCGACTAATATCAATTGTTTTTTTTTTAGTGGTCTAGTCCTTCAAGATCTGACGTTCGTCCACATCGGTAATCCTGATCTACTGCCGGATGGAAGCATCAATTTCACTAAAAGGTGGCAGCAGTACCACATCATGGAGAACATGAAGAGGTTCCACAAGGAGTGCGTATCGTTTACCATACTCATGATTAAATTACTTCACTTCAATCACTAACTTAATGGTGCCTAATAAAGTAGAAGGCCGTGAAACATCAATTCTTTAATTTCGACAGCAGGCAGTACAAGTTCAAAAAGAACGAGCGCATAATGGCGATGTTCAACGAGTTCGACGACGTGTTGAGCGAGGAGGCCATGTGGCAGGTGTCGGAGAGCATCAAGCCGCGGGGCGGGCGCCGCGCCGCGCCGGCGCAGCCCGCGCACGCGCACGCGCCGCACGCACAGCCCGTCTGAATCTTACATCTTTAACTGTTTACGTACGTACGTACTCTACTTCTTCGACTGCTTTATTTCACTTCAGCTTCGGTTGTCAACACTGCTTTTTTTTACAGGTAAATTTTCAATCCAAAGAGTGAGAGGAAGTTATGTATCCGTTCGCTTGATTCTACATCGAGAAAAAATAATTTAGAGAAATGTGATTATCTGTCCTAAAAAGGCCTAATTAATATTAGTGTATTTATTAATTGTGCGATTTTCTCGACTGCGATCGAACCGGGAGCGAGCGTGATCTCTGGACGAGTCGATGCGACGAGTGTTGTTGCGGTTTGTGCGCTTACGATTTCAACGCTTTTCATGTGCAACAAATAACAATAATCGAGTTAATATTCGTTCTATCAGTATTGAAATCGATCTACTGTCGTCTATTACATATCAGCATGTGACTGCGTATAGTACTAATGAAACGAGCGACGCCTTGGGTGTTAGAGTAAATCTTCTTGAATCTTCTCGTTGTTGTAATCGCCGATGTACACGGTGTCATCCACTGTGTACGTTATTGTATAAGCCGGCTTCGGAAGTTAGCTTTCTATACATCGAATTAGAAGAAACTTTTTAAAGTTTTAGAAAAGGTAGACGAAATACCGTTGACCATAGTGACTTAGTCGTTTATTAAGCATTTCGAGAGTAATAATTACCGTCATTCAAGTATATAATTCACCGTGTGTTTCAACAACATTTATTCTTAAGTAGGACTTATGAGAAATGGGACAGTTCATTTTTATGCAAAAAGAAAGTTTATGTGCACGCCTCAAAATAATATTGAGCTTTTATGAAAGAAAAGTTTTAACCCGAAACCAGCGAAGCGATTAAAATAATAATAATATATTTTTATAATACCTTTGTATATCCTGCCACAGAAAACATTATAACATAAACATATCATTTTTGAAACGTGTGCCAAACTTTGAACCAAGTGGAAGTGTCCCATTTCTATACATAGTACAAGTTATTTACTAAGCGATCAAGTTACGCAAATTAAAGTATTACTTACATTACATAATGCGAAGGCAAGAAACCGCCTTTAAGCTTTATAGGTAAAGTTAAAATTGGCGGCGATTTAACGTTTTACATAATATACAATTACCTTGCTACTTTAACTTGGTAGCGATAATTCGTAGACGCGAAACACTCAAAGTCCAAGTCTATTGTTAACGCTGTTGATGTTGTTTTAGATATGAGACTCAGGACTTGACTCTTTATATTTTTATGTCAAATGAAATGATAAGATAATCATATTGTTAATGCAATATTTTGCGTGAGCGTAATATGAAAAAAAACAATGCGTATTTTATTTTTGATATTCAAATTCTATATTTTTCCTATAGTTTGCTACCTGCAAGGAAGCAGACGATTATACTTTTGAAATATATACTTACTCTTCGGTGTTTGTGTAATTTTACTCTAATTTAAGATTTAGATTGAATGCTAACCCTGGAGCCTATAGTTAGATATTGTATGAACTTTGAAAAATATTAAACTTGTTCGATAGTCTCATGTTCACAGTAATCACATTTTTAAATAATGATAGGACAAATTTTTAAATAGTGTAATCATCGTTTAATTTGCCTTAAGACGATGACGTCTTCAGTGAAATAGCAATAAATTTTAATTGTTGTTAGATTTGCTGCACAATTTGTGATACTAATCATGTAGCGTGCCGCTTACTACTCAGTCTTATTGACGTCCTTTACGCGTAGGCAATTGTATTAGAAAAATATTAGTAGTAAGCTTAATAAACCCCAATATACACGCCGAAGTGTACACGTGTTGCACGAGGGCTACTTCCGTACGCCTGCCGCGACTGACTAGCGTGCCCTTCTAGTGCGTTCGTAACAATAGGAAAAACATACAAGCAATACAAGTTTTGAACAGGCGTAAGGTAAATAACGTATTTGCATCGATCAGGTACTTCGTGTTTTAAAAGGAACCATTAAGTTCCATGCAATAAATAACTAGACCAATATTTAGAATGTTTTACAGTGCTTTTCAGAATTATGTGCTGATATTGTATTTTGTATGTATAAATATTTTGATTGTTAGTTAAGTTAATAGGGTACGTTACCATTCTTTATCTGGTATTATTATTTATTTAGTGTATTATGGAAATATGGAGCGGTTAACAGATATAATTATTATCTAAAGTATATTAAAGACTGCCTAAATTAATTATTCACTTTAGTGAAATATATGAATTGTCCCGTGTAAATGTCCCTAAAGGATGTCCTATGATGATGAAATTGCATTATTGTATAGCTGAATTATGTCCTGTATGACAATCAATTGTCTTTAATGCAATCAGTCATTTGTAAGACTTGTAATCGCTAAAAAATGTAGCCTTGGCTTAATTTTACAATACACAATGATAATTATTTGTCACAATGTTCTTATTTATAATATATTCATAAGAAGTATAAAGATCACATATAGTGAACAGCGTACATATTTTTGTTGTATTAGCAAGTTCAGTATTACATAAACAAATGCCATAATCTTATGAATGGAATTAAATAATAGTACCTATATTGTCATCCTTTATTTTTGGGACCGTTTGTTTAAGTTTAAACCTTACTATAAGTAAAGTTTTTTTTATATTACTTTATTGTACATTATTTTTACTGAGTTAATTAGTTTCATATATTATTCAGACTTGCAGGTGTACAGTAAAGTTTTGTGTGTCAAGTTTTTTTTGTAACTATTTTGTAAAATAAATATAGCACTATTTACAACAGTTTATTTTTGTTATGCAAACCCGTAACGAATGCGAAATATACTGGAGCCTATTCCTATAACGCCTCGTTCAGTTAAGGCTTTTCCGTTTACAGAAAGACGACGCTGCCCTGCACTCTTTGTGGCGTTGCATGCACTAAGACAAACATATGACAGTCCCTTTTTTAGGAACACGGAGTGCTACGTATCACGTCACATTTACGTCTAAGCACCACGCATTAGGCCAATAGAATTATGTCATCAAAAGGCTTATTTGGGACGAAAAGCAGTATTTTTTAAAAAGCTAGCCGATGAGCAATGTCTGCAATTAAAATTTTGGGCTTTATAGGCGAAATAATCTGTCACCACTGAAACAGTTAATCTGCCACTGGAAATATCATAATATCGATGTACTGCCGAATAAACCAAAAATATTTTCTTTATTTTTGCTAATAATCATCCTACAGTCGTGGAACTTGGTGAGAATATGTATGTTGATATGTACTGTGCTACGATGGCATAAATAGAGCTCTCCTTTAATTCTTTATGTTTATCAAATAATGGTAACCACTTCGGATCCTGCCACGACCCAGTGGTCGTGGCCAGGCATGTTGGTCGAGCATTTGGCAGTCCAAATGCTCTACCAACATGCCTCGACTGGTGCAATCCGCCGACTTAACATAACGCCTACTCGCTGTCGGTATTATACTGGTGATTTGCTTTACTCTATTAGCTGCAAACGGTAACCAGCGGTTAGAGTCGCCTTGGCGCCATCCTAGTTCTGCTGTTGAATCTGACCACGCGAACACATTGATATTATATTTCGGCAAGCGTTTAGTAATTTTTCAAATACAAATGTTGGAGTATTGGGTGCATACATTGTATAGTAGATACTAAAATATTTTTATCTTTATTAAATTAAATGTAATTTTGTTAGATTTTCAAATAAATTTTCCTTTCCATTTTCAAGTTTCGAGCATCTCAAAACTTATACAATGTGTCTGGGTTCGGACTGTACAAACTTTAGGGGGTGATAGTTTGCTCTATTTTATCACTAAAATCATTCTACAGGTGGGTCTAAACCCAACGGCCTCTGAATGGCAGCCATTTTTGTATTTTGGTTGACTTTTTCGTAGCGTCCATACTAAAAGCACGGTACTATTATAATACAGTAGTGTAACTCGGCCGCATGATAAAAATAAATGCCTACAGCCGCGCGGTACGTAAACATGCGTTAGGGCTGCCCGTCTCCAGCATTTTAATTATATTTGCCTACTTTCTGTTTCTATTTAGATTTGTGATTGTAAATATCCTTTTTATATAAATAAATGAAATACTTTGTATATTGAATAGGAAGTGTTCAATAAAAATGCGTGGATTGGTAGATTTAATTATTTTATGTTCGTTCTGCATTGGAGGAGTTCAAGTTTCAATTTTCTTTTTCTTGGAGTGTTGCTAGAGAGACTCGTTGAGGTTTGAGCAAAGATTTCATTTGTTGCATTTTCAGTCTGTGTACTATTTTCATTTCCTACCAACGGAGCAGTTTGGGTTTGTTTATCTTCTTTTAGAGATACTCCTGGATCAGTACTAGCTAAGCTTGGCAGCATCAACAATGGTAGGGCATTCTTTTTTAAAAGTTTTCTATTTGATGAATGTAATACATCCTCCAAATTAAAATGTTTTTCACAAACTTGGTAGGAACTAAAGTTAGGTTTGTTTTCCAAATCATCTCGCCGGATCAGTTGCAACCATTGAAGACGTCTGAAAAAAAAAATACATGTGACACTCTCGGCGACTGCCGCGGTAAAGATTTTTTTTTTAAAGAAAAAATCTGCGTGTTGTCAGGTATTTTTCGTTAGGTTTTGAGAATTTCTTGATTCGGTCACCGCGCCGCGCCGCGCTCAGAGCCCGCGATAAAAGCTATGCAATAGTTTTAAAATCCTTCTATAGAATAAAAAAAATGTGCTTTGTCCTTACGCGTTACAAAACTCCAATCCTTAGAAACTCCAACACCTACCTACTCAACTAGAATGCAAGAAACAGCTGACGAGTAAGTAACTTTTTATCTCAGCTTATTAACGTCTTTATAAATTAGGTACCTACCTACAACTCAAAACAAAAATTCTTTGGTCACCAATTAATTAATTATTAAAAACCTGAACAGCTGACTACGAATGTTTTAAAATCACAACCCTCAAACATCTAAATATTATATATGACTCTAACTGTTGTTGTTAATACCGAGAAAA